TTGCTTCCGACAGAGAGTAGCGATGCGGACAAAGAGCAGGCGGCGAAGGATGCGGAGCAGTGGAGGTTGAGCCCTGGCTTCCAACTCGATGAGGTGACGATTACGAGGTTGGGTGCGTGTCTCATTGCGTATCTTGCCCAGTACTGACCGTGTGGTGTGCCACTAGACGAAGCGGAGGGCATCATCGCCATGATTTCGGAGTGGTTGGAGCTCGACGCTGCAGACGACTGGGTGCGTCATGATGCAGAGATCGTACGTTTGTTCCATCGCGCTCTTCGTTGCATTGCTAATCGCGCTGCGATCTGTCCTCATCATCTATAGGCGTTGAAACAAGAGCTTGCGTACGCCTCGTACCTCAACATACAGACCGCCATTCTCCCTGCGCCGCGCAATCGCGATCACGTTGCATCCTACGCCCGCATCGTCAACTCCTGCCTCACAAAATACCCGTACACCTACCTCTCCATCCGGCTGCCCATCTACAATCCTTCTGCATTCGCAACTCAACCTCCGCCACTAGTGCCTGTGTCGCAATCATTTGCGGAATCACTGTCGCCGAGCACGTCGAGATCAACACCGTCCCTCGTAATCTCAATGACTGAAAAAGAACCTGTACAGCCGGGTGGTTCGTTGAACGCGACGTGGGAGATGTGGGATCTCATACGATCCATGTGCGATTACAACCCGCGACTAACATTGAGTGCGTCTTGTTCTTACACTCTTAAAAGGGACATGCAGTTGACGCTGGGACGCTCCAAATTAAGCGCTCGATCTGTCTCCAGCGCTCCCGACCACGCTGGGTGTGCTCAGTAAGTGGGCTGCAGAATCCGTGCGATACATCTTCCTCCCGTCGTCGACATTCATCGCCAATGTAAAGGGATATCCCGTCCTTCCAAAACCCACGCAGCAGTTCATCCGGGACAGCATGATAGCAAGTGCCTTTTCCTTTTCCTCATGCCTTCCGCGAATCATTTGCAGGCTGGCATGTGTGATCACTGATATTAATCTTTGCTCTATCTTTTTTTCTTTCTTTTCTTTCCTCGCGGTGTTCTTTTGGGCTTTACACTGCGGGGATTAGCACAGACCCATGATCATTCTTGGAGGCGTCAGCGATGGGCATCATTCGAGGGGAGGTGAAGCTGCGTATTCGCAGTATGTGCGCCACCTGGAGAAGACTAGCCCCGCAGTGCAGGCGACAAAGCAGCCTGGGACGGTCGAGAATTTCGCACAGGGGTACCAGGATTATCTTCAGGCTCCCTTGCAGGTGGGTCCTCTTAATTTCTATCTTGTTTATCGGGACATGACAAGAACTCATGGCTATTCCTTAGCCCTTGATGGACAATTTACCCAGTGTCACATACCAAACCTTTGAGCAAGATCCGGTGAAATACGCTCAGTACGAGGAAGCGATGTATCATGCTTTCTTGGACCGCCCCGCTGGAGAACGATTGTGCGCATATATTCTTGGTTTACTGATCGATTTTCAACGCTGAAGTCTTTTCAGTGTAGTCTGCGTTGCAGGGGCCGGCCGCGGTCCTCTCGTCGCGCGATGCTTCAAGGCGCTTGAACGCTCAAAACGCGAGGCAACGGTAATTGCTGTCGAAAAAAATCCGAATGCATTCGTCACGTAAGGCTTGCGCTTTGCGCTCCTTGTTTGATTCATCTGATTTTCTGCATTATATGCGTATAGGCTTCAGCACAGACAAGCGATGGAGTGGAATAACAAAGTCAAACTATGCTTTGGGGACATGAGGGTCATCGATGTCCCTGAGAAGGCAGATATCCTGGTCAGCGAGCTGCTGGGATCGTTTGGAGACAACGAGCTCAGCCCCGAATGTTTGGACGGTGCGATGAGGTTCTTGAAACGTGCGTTCACTTTCACACCATTATTCGAAAAATTTGACGCATATTGTTTGGTAGCTGCTGGAATATCCATTCCCTCGTCATACACAGCCCATCTTGCGCCGCTTTCGTCATCGAAATTGTACAACGAAGCAAGGTCGCCTAAAAATGAGAAAAGTCTGGAAACGCCATACGTGGTGATGTTTCAGGCGGTCAATATTCTGAGCGGGACGAAGGCGGCGAATGATGGGCGGTGTGGGCCGCAGGTACAGGAGTGTTGGGAGTTTGAACATCCGAGGAGGGATGCTGTCCTGGATTCTCGTGGTATGTGATTTCTTTTTTGCAATATCGGTACTTGGCAGTTGAATATGTGGATATGGACAGGACTTCCATATACGAATAGTCATAATGCGCGTGCGGCTAAGATGCGTTTCTATATTCCTCATGCGGGTGTACTTCAGTATGTTTTTTCTGCTAAGTTATTTGTTGTCGGTCCTGGTCTGATACCTGTGTGTGATCCAGCGGTCTGGCCGGGTACTTCGAGGCAATCTTGTACGGAAATATTGGGCTGAGTATTCACCCTCAACGAAAAGACCAAGTGTCGAAGGATATGCTGAGCTGGTTCCCGTTATTTTTCCCATTTAAAGTGCACATAATTTCTCAGCGATATTATGGCTCTGGTCTTACAAACCTCATGCTTTCAGGAGCCCTTATACCTTCCAAGTAACTCCGAATTACAGGTCTCTATATGGCGCCTGACAAACGACCGTCAAGTTTGGTACGAATGGCACGCGGAATCGTTCATCTCTATTCCAGCTGCTGCAGACAGGAAGGAAGAGCTCATGTTGAGCACCACGTTCCCTGCAACGCCTTTCTCTGCTATGGGAGCACCGAGCCCATTGATCGACTCAAAAGAGCCACCGCGTCTTGATACCAGCAGGTTCGCGGCGTATGGCACCTCCGAAGAGGCCCTCTACGATATGGTCAAAATTGGACATACGAGCCTGCACAATCCTGGCGGGCGGAGCAGCTGGATCGGGCTGTGAATCCGGGACATGGCGGGCAATGGCGCTAGGATGCTGACATTCGTAAAAGTACTGGGGTCAGCGCATGAAAAAATGTAATGACATTTATTGTTGCTTCAGGACATTTTCGACGATGAGGCTGGCATGTCATATTTAGCTTTTTTGTCTCGTGCAAGTTGCAATTTTGTCAGCCCCCTCGCGCGTATTACGCAAAGCGATCGAAGGGGGTGTGGCGGACATTGAAAGTGGCTGACCTCGCCCCAGCAGTATATAGAGCCGCACCATCGCTCTTTCTTCTCACTATCCACTCTTCTTCCAATCCACTTCTATCGTTCGTCAACACCACTACAAGGCCTCTTTGCTTACACTCTCTGCCACTCCACTCTCATAAGATGAAGTACTTCGTTTCCACCGCCGCTCTCTTCTCCATCATCCCCGGCATTCTGTCGCTGACCATCAACACTCCGTATGTCCTGTATCACATACCCGCCATTTCCAGTTAGCTGATACGAGCTGTTTGTTATCAGTACGAGCGTTGTGCAGTGCCGTACGTCTTCATCGTTTCCCTCTTTCCATCCGCTGCCCCTTATACTACTTTCACCCAGAGCCCCAGCTTCTTTCTTGGAGCGGTGGTGCACCCCCCTACTACCTGTCTATTATCCCTGGTATGCTCTACCCCAACAGCGACGCTGTTAATCGTCTCGCTTATACTGATATGTCGCCTAGGTGGACAAGCCAGCGCCGCTCCGGTTCGTCGCATCATCTCCGTCATTGCCTAATATGGCATCAAATCTGACTTTTCGGGACCAGCTCAAATCATTTGATACGCAAACAGGCAGCAGCCTGACATGGATTGTTGATCTCCCCTCTGGAACCTCTATGTAAGATCTGACTATTGTGTTATGCATCACCTTCCGCTAAACTTCATCCAATGTAGAACTTGCGCTCTGAAGGACAGCACCGGCGCCACTGCGTACACCGACATGGTCACTATTCAGCCAGGTACCGACTCCAGGTATGACAACTATTGTTCTTCTTCTTGTAGTTTGTTTATTTACATTTTCTAGCTGCGCTGGAGGTTCTAGTAATGCTCAATCAACCTCGGTCGACTCGAGCAACTCTGGCACTGGCGCCTCCAATAGCGGAAGCAGCAACAGTGCTCCCGCCGCCCCCGACTCAGGCTCGGGCTCGGGCTCAGGTGTTGCGACGCAGGCCGCAGATGCTACCTCTGTGGCCGCAGGGTCTTCAGGAACTGCCTCCTCCCGCGCTAGCATCGTTGGTGCTGGTGCAGGGGGTGCCACCACTGCGTATGTCCATTGTTTCTTTCATGTACAAGAAATCTTATCGCCTCTGTAGGCGTGGAACCACTTCCGTTGGTGTCCCTGTCCAGACTCAATCTAGGGCGGTTGCCTCGACTAGTGCATCTTCTGCTCGCCCTTCTGCCACGGGCACGTCCGGTGCCGAATCCATGCTCTCTGGAAGCGGACTTGGGTTTGCTGGATTTGTTGCTCTCGCTGGAGCTCTGTTCCTCTGATACCCTATATCGTTTCTGGACTGATTATCTTCGTGTCTCTCTTTTTTTTTCGACCCTCTTGACGTGAACAGCCTATAACAAAACTATTAAAATTACGTTACATTCTGACTTTATTTCAGTCTTTTTGGGCAGCTCATTGGACATGGCTTGCCCTTGTATGTCTCCTTTGGCATTTAGCCCTTATCGCATACACTTTGTGTTCCTTATCCTTTAGATTATTCTTTGAATCCGCCTGATTTCGTCACATGAATTCGGCAACTTTTGCAGATTGAACACTATCGATTTATGATAAACGAAGAATGACGCCGTCACACCCTGCGCAAACAACGGAACGGAGATACGTAAGATGTGAAGAAACGTTTGAAACAAGCCATAAGCTTGCAAGATTATGACCGTGTTGGCGGAAAAGGACAAACTTCGAGTTGTGCCACAAAAATAAAGACTTTCATTCATTCAGAATTTATGGGCATTCAGGCTGCATTTTCAAAGTTCGCGGTTCTCCCATCAATAGGTTGGGTACTTTTTAAAAAAGAACTCGAAAAAGAATAAGTTCGCACTGTCTACCAAATTTGCGTACCATCTGAAAAAGATGAAAAAAGTCCTTCAAACCGGGATCGAACCGGTGGCCTCGGGATTAATTACGTAACAAATTACAGTCCCACGCTCTTCCAACTGAGCTATCGAAGGTATACATAGGACGTGTTTGCAATAATTATAATGCGCTAAAATACAGCCCATCGGGCAGACAACTTAACCTCAGAACATTCCGACTTGCACGTCACAGGCTCAAGCACTCACGCTACAGCCAGAGGTAATTTCGTCCCGAGTCCCGGGTCTCCATCGATTATAAATTACCCATCTGTCCACTGTTTCACCACAGCCAGCACTACTAACGTTCTTGGGAATGCAACCCATTCATTAGTCAATGATAAATGGTGTTCAAAAATATATAAAACATTGAAGCTCCACTGCTCCGGGACCATTGGAACACACTAGAAGTGCTAACTATCTAGCAGGACTCATAGTGCATTTTAACCTTTGATAGGAATCGATTTGCCAGCACGATATGCATTGCTTAACTTTAAACGGAGGTACAGGCTTGCGCCACTCACTTTTCTACTTGCAGAGTGATCCGACATATGTGGGTCTCTTTAGTCAGTCGATACGGCGCAACTCCACGATAGTGCAGTTTAAATATGGAGCTCGTTCAAGTATAAAGGAACGGAAACGTCGTCAACCTAATCCTCAGCTCTCTAGAGATGTTCCGCCTTCTGCTCATCGTCCTTGCCCCTGCAATAAGCGCCTTGGGTCTAGCCAATCCTGTTGCTCTGAAGCGCGGTGAATCTTTAAATTTCCGCTGGGGTAACATGCCACTCACATATAAGTCGTAGACGCATGGTCCGACCAGGTCGTGTCTCTTCACAATTCGTACCGTGCGCAATATGGGGCCAGTCCCGTCTCCTGGAATCAGAACCTATACGCTAGTGCCTTGTCCTGGGCGCAGCAATGCAACTTTGTTCAGTAGGTGTCCAAATTGTGGCCTGAGCATATAGAATAACAATAATCATCCTTTCTCATAGTAGCTCGCCTGGAGGTAAATACGGAGAAAACCTTGTATGTTGTTCACCTCTCAACAAAAGGCGACTATTTTCTAAAAATACCGAATTCATGTTCAGTACGCTATAGGAAGTACTAGTGCCGATGCTCTCACCATGGGATTGAAATCGTGGATGTCGGAAGCCTGTAAATTGATTCGACCAAATTGAACAGGAAAGCACGTACTAATATTTCTCATTTTTTAAGCCAAATATGACTGTAAGCAGGTGAATTAAAATTGTTATTCGAGCATGCCTGATATGCTCGGTGTGATAGACAACAATCCTGGATTCACCTCTAGCACTGGCCACTTTACGCAGGTTAGTTCTGCACCCTCTCGGATTAAATAATCCAACTTACTTCGATGTTCGATATACTCGTACCATGTAGGTTGTTTGGAAGAGCACTACGGGAGTAGCATGCGCTCAGGCAAATTGCGCCGCTGGGACAATCTTCCCGAACAATGCTTCCAAATTTTTGGTTTGTCGCTACACCCCTCCGGGAAATGTTGCGGGTCAATTCCCGTAAGTAAGAGCAAAGATAGAACATCATCCACACTGACTGCGCTCATCAGACAAAACGTTGGAAGGCATGTGTGAGCACCAGGTGACGAGAGAATGTGCGTTTACGAGGGACCGATGTTGATAACTAGTGTGTTGTAAATAGTCTTGTTCGTTTTGCCCGAGAAAGTACATGGTCGATTATACTATAGAGAGAGGCCAGCGCAGGGATGTGAAGGCTGTCCAGAAATTCTTCTTGAACACGCTTCCAAGGCTCGATTGCACAGAGAACTCACTTTGAGCCAAGCTAACACTGTACACCTCTGTATTTTAATTCGCAACCCAGATAAAGTGTTTATGACTCTTAGATGAAAGCTCAATCCTGAGCCTTCGAATCGCTAGTAAACATTGTTAGGATGCTGAGAAAATAATGAACGATGACGGACTCACCATTAAAGATCCTTCAAATTTACCACAAAATCCTAGCAAAGATGTCTTCCCCGTCGACAATTCGACACCGATAAGATAATATTCAACGCGATATAAGCAATGTTCATGCAATGACTAATAAACAAATCCAAGGTGGATACCCGTAAAATACACACAACATAAACGACAGAAGAAATAAGAAAATGCGAGTATTAATATGTCGATCCTCCGTTAGCTCTTGAGTTCTACGATAATGTTCACGATCATAATGATAGTATAGCTGGCAATAAGCACCACACCCCACCGTCGCGTGAGGAAGTAGTCGTTCAGAGGCACGAAGATGAGTGTCGCGGCAAGGAGGAAAAGGAGGCCGAACGAGCTGACGAGTAGTGTGGATGATAGTTTGAGATGGTAGGGTTGAGATGTCTTGTGGATGACATAGGAGCCTGAAACACCGATTCCAAGTAGGATATTGAGCATGGGTCCACCGAAACATGCCGAGAAACCCATGATGGGAGCGAAAGCCTGAAAAATAACACAGATAAGAATGAATCATTTTGAGATATAGAAAATGTTGTAGTTACAGCAACGCTCATATTCGCAACAAGGTCTGCAAGCGAGTTACCAACAGCAAAGATTGTAAGGCCGATGATAGCATCGGATAACCCAAAAATCAAGCCGAAGGTCTGAAAACATCCTAATCAGCAATGCCATACTAATCAAAGATCAGAAGGACGACAGACCTGCAGGACATTCACCACTTCGTCCGCAATCGCCATAATCCACACTACTGAAACAGCGAAACCAGCGGAGCAACGCATCAAGCGAGCACTTGGACTATTGCCCTTCTCAGAAAATATCAGGACGAGAACGGCCACGGATATGCCTGTGGTCAATGCACCGAGGAGGAGCCAGGGCGCTTCTCGAATACCGCCTGCACGTATCAGTTAGTGACAATGTCTTTGATGATCCATACCCAAGCTTACCAAATAGAACGCGAATGGTGAACAAGGGGCCTAGCACACATTGCACGGCCATCAGCCATTTATTGTAAGTCAGTTCATGCATTTCCTCCTGCGTTTCCTCTTCAGCAATAAGGACCCGCTCCATGCCCTCCTCTTCAAATTCCACAAGCCTCGAATCGGAGTTATACATCTTCTCTGGCGCTAATCGAGCGGTGTCGTAAGGGGTGATCACAACGGGAAGGGTCAACGTCAAGGCAAGCACAGCCGGAGCAGCGAGGATGCACGCTAGCTGCGCAAGAACCGTTTGTTTTCGCAGACTGTGCAATGTGGGGAAAAGGATGTGGTATGTTCGGCGCATAACGGACTTGCACCGTTGCCAGCGTGTATACGGCGTGTATAATGCTTCTTCACTCTCGATTTCTGAGGCAGTTATTGAAGGCGATGCTGGCGTACGCAAAATAGTTGGAACGGGTGGTGTTGATTGCGACTGGAAATAATCGTCAGGCTCCAGCAAATCACGCTCACGACGTCCTTGCCGTGCTGTCGAACCGGAACTTGGTGATAAGCTAGTGCGAGTGCCTAGACGAAGTGTATGCATGGCTTCTTCGTCCAGAGTGAGGCTGGAGTTCAAAGACGAACGGGGAGATCGTCGTGGGATGGGAGTGTGATAGTGTCCTCCTGCATATGGTGTCGTTGGCGTCTCGAAGATGCCTAATGAATTTCCTGCTGCTTCTTTCTGTAAAGAAGCAACGACATCTCGAAATTCCAATGCACCAACGAGGGAGAATGATGGAAGTTGTGTAACATGTGTCGACACTGGAGAAGGAGAGCGAGATTGGGGACGGGGTGGTAAGTTCATTTGTAGCCGAGGAGGATTTGGGGCAGATATGGCGCGTAGTCTGGGACTTGTAGGAGAAGTGACGGATAGCGTTGGCAAAGCTATAAACAAAATGAGGTTCGAGGTATTTAAAAAAGATTGCCAAACTCACGTTCATCTGTATACGGCGGGAAGTTTTCTTCTGCATATTCCGATCTATCTTGAAGCTCCTTGCTTCTCAACCGCTCTTTCCTCTTCTCCCACCACGTTCCGACAATCACCAACATCACATATATGAGATATAATGCAACGAGACTTCCGGCCTCCCAGCGGCTGATCTTACTGTCCCACAAAGTCACTAGCACCAGGCTCACTGCAAGAGTGAAAAAGCCGACATCTCGAAGGAAGGGACCACGATGGACTTGAAAAGGCTTGATGATGCACATTGAGCCGACGACGCAGGACACGATGAACGTCGATGCGCCCAACAGCTCTCCGATCGCCAGACTCCCAGAGTTAGCGCGCATCGCTGAAAACGTCGAAAAGACATCTGGACTTCCATTTCCAAACGCTAATAGTGTGACTCCGGCAACATTCTCGTCCAATCCGAGAAGGCCTGATATAGTTGCGAGATTGGGAGTGAAGAAATCGGAGGCGCTAATTCCGAGGGTTGAGAACAGGAACATGAGCCATACAACCAGACCGACAAATACGAGCGGGCGAAGAGTGATTTCTGTGCAGAAATAATGGCGGAGATAATCGATGTGGAGGACGGTATTGGGCGCCGGGCAATCCGCGTCGACGTGATGACACTGGTCGTCGGTTGGGAAGGCTAACGGACGACACTACAATATGAAGTCATTAGCCAAAGCAGATCGAGCGTCTCCACAATTTCGGGAACTCGCCTCATGCTCTGACCGGGTAGTCAGACGAGCCTCCAAGGGCTGAGATAGCTCAAATGATATTCGCTTGACAAGACTGGCCTCCCCGTGGAGCAAACTTGAGTGCAAGGGTTGACCATACCGACTCCTTGACCAGAGAACGCAATTGAGCACGAGGAGGACGACAAAGACAAAGCGAGCTGCGCCTTTGGACATGGAGGATGGGACTAACAGGGGTGGGGCAGCATGCGTCCTGTTGGTGCAAGTATAAGAGTTACCGTGACCGAAGCAGCGTGAACAGAACTGATGACAGCACCAAACACTTCGGTGATTCTCCGCTGCAGCTGCGGCGCACAACGTGCGCCCGGCCCTCCGGTTTTCCTTTCATTAAGCTACTATCATGTCTTCCAAACCTTATGACTTCGAATCTATAAAAAAATGAATGGAAAATGCCATAACCCCCATGTACTTCCTGAGCATCTTGGGACACAACACCAAG